ACCTTCTTCCCGCTGCGGCCGCGAGGGCTGCGGCCTCCAGCACCTGCTCACACCTGCCTGCGAATTTGACACCAGCTCCTCAAATAGTGGCAAACCGACACAGAATCAGTTAAGTTGGAAAAGACATCCGAGATGGTCGAGTCCAACCGATGTCCGAACACCACCACGTCAACTAGACCACAGCACTGAGTGCTACATCGAGTCTTTCCCTAAACACCTCTGGGGACGGTGGCTCCACCACCTCCCTGGGCAGCCCGTTGCAATGTCTGATCACCCTTTCAGGGAAGAAATTCCTCCTCATGTCCTCTCGCCTTGTCTCTGGTTGCCTGGGAGAAGAGGCCAACACCCACCTGTTTACAATCTCCTATCAGGCAGTTGTAGACAGCGGTAAGGCCACCGTGAGCCTGCTCCAGGCTAAACACCCCTAGCTCGCTCAGCTGCTCCTCACAGGACACGCGCTCCATATGTATAAATATATATACATATCTATTTGTATTTATATATATTCGTCTGTATGTTCTTGGGTGGGGCAACGCGTTTTAAGGCAAAATGGGGCTGGGGTCATGGTTGAGCATCCACAAATGACCCCGCCAGGCCAAGCTGCCCCCGCTGGCCCAAAAGCTGCAGGCAGTGCCTGGGCCTGCGATGGAGGAGCTGGGCAGGGAGCTGGGCCCTGGCAGGGACAGGGTGGTGGGGGAAGGTGGAGGCGGGAGAGCAAGGGGAGGCAGGTGGAGCGTGCCAGGTGGTGTAAGCTGAGGGACAAAGGTGGAGGTGCAGGAGTCCCTCAGGCCACCATCCTGGTGTTTCCACAGCACCTGCTGGGTTCCCAGATGGACGCCAGACCCCGTCTCCCCAGCCTGTGATTCCCCCACGCCCTGCTCAGTTCTCTGTGGGCTGTCCTGCTGGGGCCAATATGGCCAAGGGGCTGCTTTCTCCTGCAGGCAGAGTCTGCCCTTCATCTGTGGTTCCTGGGACACAGTCCATGGCAGCCTTTGTGTCAGCCTCACCAGTGGAAGGCTTGGGGGACAGCGGGACATCTCGGCTGTGACGGGGTGCCGGCTGTGGCGGGAGCGGCGGCGGGACAGAGGGGGCTCGGCTGGGTGCCATCCGTCAGAGCTTTGTGGTCGTGGCGGGGGTTTGTGGTCGTGGCAGGGCTTTGGGGCTGGCTGCTGGGGCAGGAGCTGTGCTCCGGGACTGGGTCACAGGCGGTGGCAGCATCGTGGGTCGGGCTGGAGCTGGGCGCTTGCCTGAAAAGAAAGCTGGGCTGGGCTGGGGTACCCTCCTCTGGTGTGTCTCCGCAGGGCAGAGGCAGCTGTGGTGCCAGCCATGGGTCAGGCAGGATGAAGGCTAAACTACAGGAGGTGGCATTCAGGGGTGTTATTTCCCAAGCACTGTGCCATCTGGGGCACCCTTACCTTTGCGGCTGGTATCTTCAGTCATTGTTGGAGCTGCTGGCTCTGCAACTTCAGGAGATGGTTTGGTCAGTGCTGGGGATGCCAGCTGGGACTTGGCCTCGGGGTCCCTCGATGTCCTGCGCAGAGAACGAGGCAAGTCAGGCTTTGGTTGGGCATGGCGGTCCTGGCCTCGAGGCCAGGCATCCACCTGCGAGGCTATGGCCCCTGGCCATCCCATGGTGGGATGGGAGGAGAACATAGGGAGAGGTGGGACAGCCAGAGCCCCTAGTTCCCAGCAGACTTACGTCTCTCCATCCGGAAGGGTGGGAGTGCTGGCTGGAGGGAGCTCAGGGGTCAGCTCCTCCACTGGGGCAGCCTTGCTAAGTCCACTATTTGCAGGCAGTGTGAACAATCCTGAGACATTAAAATCTACCTCTGGGTGGAGAGAAGGGAGGAGACCCTGTGAGGAAGAACTTGTGGCCCAGAGCAATGACCCCATGGCAGGGAGCCAGAGCAGGCCCCTAAATCCCTCCTCCTGGGGATGGAGAAATGTCCCTTTCCCTTCCTCTACCCTTCACCATGTGCTGTGGCCCACCAAGTGGTGCCTTAGCCCTACCTCCGGGGAAGAGGGTGTCCACGTTCTGGATGAGGGCTTCCACCACACCCTGGATGGAGGAGACTGAGGCCAAGTCCAGTTGCATGGGGTCTCTGAGAGACAGGAATGGGGTAGGCATCAGAAAAGGGGTTTGGGGGGCATTAACCCCAAATGGCTTTTGGTGTTCATTCCTGAGGGGCCAGAGCCTGAAGGGAAGCCAGCCCAGCCGAGGGGAATGGCAGGGTGTGAGATGGGCCTTGTTCCCTGTCCTGAGAACCCTGGTTTGGTGTTGGAGGCCAATGGTGTTGAAAGCCATCCATGTCACAAGTGCTTCAGGTCTCAGCCCTTTCCTCTACTGCTTTACAGAGTGGCTAAGAGGACACAAGGGACATGCAACTTGGGAACAAACACAGGACTTGAGAATGGAAGAGGTGCAGGTGCTTCAAACCCGCCTGAAGGCTGCTGGATCAGCCTTTCCCATGGCATTTGTATTCACGGCACCCGAGCTGGGGCTGGGAATCTGCATCCCATCCCTCCAAGCTGGACCTTACCCTGTGCTCTGCTGCGACCACAGCAGGTTTGGGCCCAGCACAATGGCGATGTTGCTGGGGGTCATTTTATTCACCTCCTGGTGTTCAGCCAGCTTGGCTAAAAACTTGATCAGATACCTGCGGGGTGAAGGTATAGTAGGCATGGATTTGGGGAAGAAACGGCCACTACCAGTGATTGCTTGCCCTGCTCCTTGCAGGGCTAAGGAAGCCCTACTTCAGCAAAACACCTCAGATTGTTGTAGCTCTCTTGGGGCAGGCGGCTGCAGGTGTCTCGCAGGCTCTGTACACGGCTGTCAACGTCCTTTAAGCTGCAAGAGAGAAGGAGGAGGAATGGAGAGCTCAACCTGCTCCCTATGGCAGAGAGGGACACGGTGGGCAAGGAGGAAGGCCAGTGCTGGCCACCCCATGTAGGCCATAGCCCTGGGGATGGAGATGTCTTGCTTTTATTGAGCAGCTAAGGTAGGCACCCATGGAGGAGCTGCGTTTTTATACCCCTGACATGGCAAATGAGGCTGAGCATCCCTGCTTCAAGTGCTGGAAAGGATGGAGGGGGTTGATTGGGGCCTTTTTAAGACCAGCCAGGCATTTCCGCCCCAGTGTCTGGACTCACCTGGCCACTTTGACCCATTCGTCATAGAGCTCAAAGGTCATCAAAGGCTGGGGCAGCTCCCGCAGGTAGGATTTCAGTGCGCCTGGGAGGGGAGGGGGAGCAGCGGGGGCTGATGGCAGCTGGGGGATGGCAAGGACTGCCCAGTGATGTTCCCCCACCCTGCCTCACTGGCACCCACCAGCCACAGCATGGGGGTCTGAGTAAAACTCCTCCAGGGTATTGGAGCCACTGGCCAAGCTGCTCTTCAGCTTCCTCAGCACTGACGCACCCGCTGCCAGCCGGAAGAGACCCTGGGATGAGGCAAAGAGGGAAGGGATGCACTTCGAGTTTGAGAGGGGTGCCTTTTGGGGGGGATAGTGGTGAGGGGGTCTGGAGCACTCCCTACCTCTTCCCTCATGCCAGAGGCCAGCAGCATCATGACACAGGCTTCAATGGGCAGTGCGATCTCCCGGCCCAAGCTCTTGAGGTGGGTCTCTAGGGACACGCCATAGTACCCTGCCACTGGGGTGTCTGCATTGAAGGAGGGCTCTGGAAGAGGGAGGAGAATGTCAAGAGGGATGGTGGCCACTGGGGCCATCCAGCATCTGGCCATGGCAACATCTCACTCCAATCCAAACTTAGCTGGCTGGGGGCAGAGACAGGTTAGGCAGCATCCCCAGCTCACCTCAGGCTGCGGTCCCCAACCCACCAGCCAAACACGGGAGAGAGCAGCAGATGTTAGGGAGGGGAAATGGGCCTTTTCCAGTCTTGCTGGCCACACTTATATCCCCCAGGCTCGGCTGCAGCCCTCTCTGGGCTGAGTGGAGAGCCAGCAGGTACCTGACTGTCTGTGGCTTTCCCTTAGTTCTGCCAGAGCTGTGTCCAGAGATTCCAGTGACTGCCGGTGGTACTGGGCCTGGATTTCCAGCAGCTGCCAGACAGGGTATAGACAGACAGCACTCAGTTTGGCACCAGCCCCTCTCAGAGAGACACCCATTACCAGGACGCTGTACCCTCATGCAGGCAGGGCAAAGAGGGAGCTGCAAAGGGAACCCACCCGAGGTCCATGAAACTGTATCTGTAGTGAGGGATAGAGGGTAAATTGGAGAGGGGGGTCACTGGGACAAGCCACTCTGTTTGCAGTTAGTGCTAGTGGCAGCATTAACCCGCAGTGCCTGGAGCAAGGCCAGCTATAGGCATCTGCTGATGCCTCAGTCTGTTCCTTGTCCTGGGTGGGGGACTTGGTGCGGATGGGGACAAGGCTGGGCTCAGACATACCCCAGGAGATGTTCACACACAAAGGAGAAGTGTGAGAAAGGACTTACTTTGATGAAGTAGCTGGCGTAGCTGTCCTCCTTGGTGGAGAAGTGGTAGAGGTCAGCCATGTACTCGTCCTGGGAAGGGAGACACAGAGAAGAGCAATCTTCCATCCCCTCTGGCATCCGAGGAAGAGGAGACCCCTTCATGAAGTCTTTCATCTCATCTGTGAGTTGTCTAGACAGGGTCCCTGAGTGTGGTGGGGATTCCTCCTTGCCTCCACTGCTTTCGTTTGGGTAGTGGCAGCAACCTGCCCTATGATCAAGGTCCTGGCACAAGTGGTTCAGGGATAAGAGGTCCCTGCACCTTCAGCTCCAGTGAGCTCATGCTTCTGCCAGACAAGATGCTGGGTGTTTCAGAGAAACAGGGCAGAAGAGGAGTAAGTTGATGTGAAACTTTCCTGCCACCCAGAGCAGATTCTAGCTCAGCTGGTTCCCAGCCCAAGGAGCTCCCCACTATAGCCCCTGGAGCCTCCTCTAAAGCAGAATCCTTTACTCTTTGAATCCTTTACACTTTTTATTCTCTGGGCCTGGGGCATCTCTCTGTTTCTGCTTGAGGAGCCTGTTTGTTTGCAGAGGGCAGGACACGTTGGCTGGCTGCAACCCATCTCACTATGGGGTCACCTCGGACAAGACTGGTGGAGGGAAGCAGGTCTGCAGCCCTGGAGCTGCCCCGTGGAGGAGAGCAGTGACATTCTCACCTTGCATTGTTCCACCTTCCTCTTTACCTCCTCCTCCTCTTCCTTCAAGATCTCCAGTTTGTTGGCAGCAGAAGATGCCCCTGGACCAGCACCAGCTCCAGTGCTGTTACTGGAGCTCTTGGCAGCTTGGCTCAGCCTTTGGGGTGGGAGAGAAGAGGCACATTCACGGCCTCAGTGCCAGGGACATGGGGTGGGACAGCTGTGCAGACTCCTAGAGAAATCTGGCATGGCACAGGCTGCCACTGGCAAGATTTGGAATCGGACAATCTCAGTGGCACCAAGCAGCACTGGGACACTTTGCTGCCTTTGGCAGTGGCA